GCCCCTTGCCAATGCCGTTTGTGTGAGTATATATTATGCTCATTTAAGGCCCTTGCCAAATGCCGTTGGTGAGGTATATTATGCTTCATTTTAGCCCGCATGCCAAATGCCCGTTGGTGAGGTTATTTATGCTCCATTTCAGGCCCTGGCAAATGTTTGGTGAGTGTATATTATGCTCCATTTAAGGCCCCTGCCAAAATGCCGTTGTGAGTTATAATTTATGCTTCATTTCAGGCCCATGCCAAATGCCGTTGGTGAGTATATTATGCTCCATTTAAGGTCCCCTGCCAATTGCCGTTTGTGAGTTATATATGCTTCATTTCAGGCCATGCCAAATGCACGTTGTGACATATTATGCTTCATTCAGGCCCATGCCAAATGCCGTTGGTGTGAGTTTATATTATGCTTCATTTAGGTGCCTTCCCCAAATGCCGTTGGGAGTATTATGCTTCATTTAAGGCCCTTGCCAAATGCCGTTGGTGAGTCTATATTTATGCCTTCATTTAAGGCCCTTGCCAATGCCTTTGTGGGTTATATTATGCTTCATTTAAGCCCTTGCCAAATGCCCGTTGTGAGTTATATATGCTTCATTTAAGGCCCTTGCCAAATGCCGTTGGTGAGTTATATTATGCTCATTTAGGCCCTTGCAAATGCCGTTGATGAGTTATATTATGCTTCATTTAAAAGCCCATGCCAAATGCCGTTGGTGAGTTATATTTATGCTTCATTTAAGCCCATGCCAAATGCCGTTGGTGAGTTATTATGCTTCATTTAAGGCCCCTGCCCAAATGCCGTTGGTGAGTTATATTATGCTTCATTTAGGCCCCTGCCAAAATGCCGTTGGTGAGTTATATTATGCTTCATTTCAGGCCCATGCCAAATGCCGTTGGTGAGTTATATTATGCTTCATTTCAGGCCCATGCCAAATGCCGTTGGTGAGTTATATTATGCTTCATTTAAGGCCCCTGCTAAATGCCGTTGGTGAGTTATATTATGCTTCATTTAAGGCCCTTGCCAAATGCCGTTGGTGAGTTATATTATGCTTCATTTCAGGCCCATAATGCCGTTGGTGAGTTATATTATGCTCATTTAAGGCCCTGCTAAAATGCCGTTGGTGCGTTTATATTATGCTTCATTTCAGGCCTGCAAATGCCGTTTGGTGAGTTATATTATGCTTCATTTCAGGCCCTTTGCCAAATTTATGCTTCATTTCAGGCCCATGCCTAATGCCGTTGGTGAGTTATATTATGCTTCATTTAAGGCCCCTGCTAAATGCCGTTGGTGAATATTTATGCCATTTCAGGCCCATGCCAAAATGCCGTTGGTGA